CGGGGCGATGCACACAGAAACCGAGGGTTTAAATGGGCGTACGGAATGTCCGGCGGGGCCCACACGCTGTCTGGAAGCACCGACAAAGGCTGGAAATCAGGCCCGGAGCCACCCGGTGAGGGTTTGTCTCGCCTGAGCCGTGGCGGGGCTGGGGACACCCCCCGCGGCGGCCGGGACGTGCGGGTCCCCGTGCCGGGAGGTGCCCCGGAAAAAGGTCTCCAGAGCAGCTTCACAGAATAATAATTTCTTGTGAGTGGCAAGTACGGTGCTTGTTTTTCAACTGACCCCATTGGTAGGGCTATAGGAATCTTTATGTACTTCTTGTGCATTGCATTGTTATGAGTATTTTCCTTAAACAGGTTCTGTTGTTCAGTTCTTAACTATTTATTCAGAAAGAGTGACATGCTCATCATTGTGAGGGCTCACTTTCCGCTGTCGCTGGCTCTGATGAAGTCCACGGAGGTATTGTTTCAGATTGCCATGGAGGCGAAACTTCATCCTTGAACATATTTTCCGTTCCTCTGTCCCATGCAGATGACTTTGAAGAGAAAAAGCCCAGTATAAAGAAGAAAGACTCAAAAGCTCTGGCTAGAAAGAAGGAAGAAAATTGTGATACTGGAGTTTCCAACTCAACAAATAAACCTTCAAAACAAAAAGGGGCAAAATCAGTAATGAAAGAAAATAAAACTATTACTAGAAATAAAGCGAATCATAGCAGAGAGGAAACGTGCAGGTAAGTTTACTTATCATTCAAGTCTATGGAAACTCTCCCTTCATGTTATTTATTTAGGGCCCAGTGCTATATATGTGCATGTGAGCAGTTTATTTTAGGCTATCAGTCCAGTTTAGGACATTTGTGTCACACAGCTGAACAGAAGTAGCATCTCATTCATTGCAGAGTCAGTCCTGAAGAAGATAGTCTGTATAGGAAGGAAATATGCGAGCCTTTTCAAATTCACTGGTTTAAATATAAAGTTTTATTTTCTATGGTTTTTACATGGGACTAGGGAGGCATTATGGAATCCAGCATGAATAGAAATGTTGGCCTGGGATTTGGGGTTAAAATGATGAGCAGAAATCTTTAAACATATAATTCTCTGGTGTTTTGTGGAATCCAAATACAGCATCAGCACGTGTAGATTGCTGTAGCAAATTAATTAATAAAAAGAAATCAAACTGGTTGGTCTCATTTCACTGGGCAGCCAGAGCCTTGGGTATTAGTATAGTGAAACAGAAACAGTTCCAGTTTCAGTACACTTTGAAGGTTCAGTAAGAACAAATGATTCAGTGAACCATTTCTCCAAGGACTCATTTGTACAACCTGTTCTAAAGGACGGGGCCTTTTGTAGATTCAGGCATTTCCCTAAACATCTTTGCAGAATCAGAACCTAAGTTTGCATGGAAAAAATGTTGCTGCACTGAGCCCGTGGTTATTTATGGCAAAGACAGTTCGCTTTACAGAGAAGGTATCTGTGGGTTAATTGTCAAATATTCAATCTGTTGTTACTGATGCAGAGGTCACGCTTCATTTGTTTCCCTATTTTTAGTGTGTTCTTCCTCTATTTTTCTTAAACAAGCACCTACATTTCCTCATGTTAAAGCCATTTTGATAATTTTAACAGTGACTCACTGAAACCCCCTCAGAAGGAGATAAAGTTGAAGAGAGAATCTCCTGTTAAAAAAGAGATGGATGAAGACAATACTGACGATGATGATGATGAAAGTGAAGATGAATGGGAGGATGTGGAAGGTAACAGTTGCGTGTTTATTCATTTTAAGGAGTAAATATACACTTTTTTTTTAAATTTGATTTTTGAACCATTTCTCATTTGGATTCATGTAAATGTATATAGTCTGTATAACTAAAGTATGCTCCGTGTGCATATCTGTATCTTTAAAAGCTCATATCTCACAATGCTTTTAGAATGGTTCCAAAGGAGAAAAAAGCCAGACAACTACTGACCTGATGGTAGCGCCTTGAATGTGACTCTTTATTGGCTTATGTTAAAATTCTACCATGCACAAAGCACTTTCTCAGCTGTATCTGTTGTATAATATTGAGCAGCTAAGAATGAGTCAGTTTGAAGATTTGAAACTGCCACTTCTAGTTAGAGAGAGTGGAGATGAAACCAACTGAGCTGTTTGATTAGGTGGTGATAAGAATCATGTTGATCATAATCTTCCTATTTTGCTGCTACAGATTTTTGCCTTCTAAAGTGAACAGCTGTCATGTTTTTTTTCTTTGCGACCCTTCAAATCACATGTGCTTCATTTGTCTTTCTCCTGTTGAGTTTGCCTGTGACAGTCACTTGCCGTTAGACTGTGCTGAGCCGATTCCTCAACAGCAGGTGACTGGCATCCCACTGTTGTTTGAAATAACTGAGCGCACACAGTGTTATGGAAGATCCAGGAGCTGGTAATTGCTGGGGATGTTCTGTTAGTAGGTTGTTTGAACACTTTAGAAGGAATAGGTATGTTCTTATCCCATTGTCAGGGATCTGGGGCATCTATTTCATGTTCATCTATTTTTTAGTATTATTTTATTTTTCCAGAACTCCAAGAACCTGCCACAGACAAGTTAGAAGAAGCTGCTGTTCTTCCAGCAGTGGCGCTCCCAAGCAATCCTGTCGAGATAGAGATTGAAACCCCAGAGCAGGTGAAGAAAAGAGAGAGGAGGTAAGAACAGGGAATGCAGTGGAAGGCCATGAAAGGATGAAGTTAAAAATATGCTAAGTCTTGACTATCACTGACTTGCTCTGTTCTGAGTTGAAATACCCACTTGGCGCAGACTGTTGCGTTGGAATGATGCAAGATTACAGGATGGAGAACAGTTTGCACACTGTCAATTTTACCAAAAATCTTCAATGGAAGAAATCATTGGTTGGCAGGAATGGAGGCTTTTCAGCTTCCTTGAAAATCAAGTGTGTAACTTCATTGTGCTTTAATATCTACATTTCCAAACCAGGGACAGTAGTAGCTCTCTTCAAGGAGAGCTGTGGGCGAATGGCATTGTTGTACTGTAATATCTTAACAGCTCAGGTGGAAGCCTCTGTGTGCCCATAGCTGAGCTGTGAATAGGGGGGTCAAATGAATGTCATTGGCAGCTGGGAGCATTATACCAAAGAAGGCTTTCTTTGTGTGGCAGCTGGAGCCTTGGTGTTATCTCATGCTGTTATAGGGTGAGCACTGTCCCAGGCCAGCCCTTCATAACAAAGCAAGCAGAATATCTGTTTCCTCTAAGTTAAAAGACTTCATCAATGAAGAGAAAACCTTTTTTCCAAGAATGTGAATGGAGTGCTAGCAGTAATCTAATGGAGCTGTCCAAAGCTATCGGGTAGGACACTGTGGGCACATAAAGTTAGGTGGAATTTAGGCCATCTGAATATACCCAAGCTCTCACTAGTCAGGTATGTGGAGTTCACAGTTTATTAGTCATATGCAGCCTGTATGCCTATTCACATAGACAGTAGCTAAACTTCTGTTAAGTGTGTACAGAAGATTCTCTGGGATGGTTTCTCTTTGTGAACTGATCCAATACAGGAATCTAGAAAAGTAGGTCCATAGAAAACCCACAACGTCCATTTCTTTTATAATCTTGTGCAGAGAAAAAAGGCAAGCCGAGTTTGAGATCTATCTTCGGAGAATGATGAAACGTTTCAGCAAGGAGGTTCGTGAGAACACACATAAGGTATTTGTCACAGAAAAAATTGAGCATAAAGATGTCTGAACTGATTTGTAATGAAGAAGGAACTAATTTTGACCAAATAATTTGGGGCCGTGGCTAGAAGGGAAAAAGTAAAAAGGCGGTAGTTCTGACAAATGTTCATTAGACTTTTGCTAAACTGTAAGGTAGAAATATCAGTGACTACATTAGTAAAATTCTAAATCATAGCAGATGTGAGTAGAGCGTATATTTCTCCATTGAGCGTGTATCTGCTCATTTTGTTGGGGTTAAACTGTCAGTCGCATATAGCAGGAGACACTGACAGAGACTTCAAGGATTAACTGTCTTCTGATGGTAATCTGAAGACAGCCCTGTGTATGTTTGCGAGGCTTTGTTGTTGCCTGTCTCTGTTAAAAGGAGCAGTAAAGCCTTTCTAATCTATACCATGGGCAATAGTTCCAGCAAAGAA